CTTAAATTACTGCAGCCTCTCAACTATCAATTCTTTAACTACATTTCCAGGTACGCTTCCAGGTGCTGTAATACACAAGTCTGTTCTGTGCCTGTAGGGTACCAAAACATGCTGGTATACATCGCCCAAGTGACCATTCATGTGGGATCCCATTCTTCATGTGTGATCTTAGAGAACGAGTGAATATCCAATTTTGCCCGTGGGAGCATCAATACTGATCCTGTTCATCCTCTTTGGGCGAGTGTGGTAAGCGATGTTAATGGACAGTTTCCTCAATAACACAGAGGGTAGAAACATCACCCATATGACTAATCTATAAGACACAGGAAATTTACAGGTTTGATTTCCAGCCCATGCTGAGTTAGATGACCTCAACTCAGGGATCAGGGGTCTGAAGAAGGGGGTGGGTCAAAATCATCCAGGTTTCCATCCTGAACACTATCCACTGACTCACTGAAAGGTGTGGACATCTGGTGAGAGCAATAGTAGGTTCAGTTGCAATGTCCCCACTGTTAAATAGCCTCTAACAGAGAGAAAAGGGCCTTGTATCTTTATAGCACCTTATCAACAACTCAAATGAATACTGTCAAGTGGTATGATCGTTTTTTTTTAAGACTATTATTGCACCAGAGCAGACCCACAACCACCCATTAGATAAATGACACATCAATGTGGAAGAATGTCAGCTAGGACATCAGGAGAAACTCTTCCAATTCTGTTGTGGCATTTTTAATATCCACCTAGTCAGAGCAGTGAGTATTATCTCTGTGGAACCTTTCAATGACTCAACAGTCCCATTCCATTGAATACTATAGCGGTTGATTTCATGTGTTAATTTGATGGNAAAAAGGGAAGGAAAAAATCAGGGGGGATATTGTGCACATTTTCATTTAAAATTTACATCAACTCAAGTGTTCAGTGCTCCCAAATGTGTAACAAACATCTAAATCCAAATATAAAACTCAAAAGAATTTAATTTTATTAAACATCGCAATAACAGGATTATTTACAACAGCATTATTTAACATCAAATAAGCAAATGACATCAGCAAAAGCAATATTAGTTAACAACTTGCATAAATGTTTTTTTTTAATTTCTCTGAATATACCTAACTTGGCATAAAATGCTCACATAAGGATACAAACATGGATGCCCAAGGGAGGAAAATAAGTGTTTAGTGTGAACTAAATTAAAAAAAATACATCTCCAAACTTGCAACACTGTAAGCCTTCTGTTGAAGAACCTTAGTTTACATATTGCTTAGAATTTGCATCTCGTCAATATACACCTCTCAGAATTTTTTTGGAGAAAAAAAACATTCCAATAGTGACCCACTACTCACCACAAAAACAAAATTAACACAAAAAACTAAACCTGGGTCCATATTGCAATTAGGCCAACCATTATTTCTACTTATTTGCCCGAAAGAAAAAATAACTGATGACACACTCATTCAAAATTTTTACACAATTCACTATACAAACAATATAATACAACAACAAACAGCTGCTAGGAATATACAGGACATAAAAACATAGCTAAGGCATAATGCTACATTATAGCATTTGAGGTTCCTGCACTGTACTAAGAAATTGACTGACTTTACAAAACAAGAAAAGTTTAAGCTCTAAATGAAAAAAGTAGAGACAGGGGTTCTCTATCAAATTGAAAATCTGTAGAATAGTTTGTGCAGAGAATGTTCTGTATCCAGTCAACAATCAATTGTGTACAAATACTATAAAATGATGTTAAACCACACCAACACACCATGGCTTAGCTGTATCTCAAAATTAACTCAGTGAAATCTTTGGATTTTGCAAACAAGAGCTGCATAGCCCCGTTTGTATGCAATGTACAGCATTACAATACATTTTTAAATGTTAATTTGCATCATTACATTAGATCTGTTAGAGCAATCGATGTAATAAACCGTAACTTAATCAGAAAGATGTTACTTCTGAGTAAACACAGCCAACCTCCCCCAAGAGAGCAGACCTTGATGCATTGAAATCTACAGTACAAATAAAATGGGGTTATACAAGACAGCCTGAATCACGGTTATATGACACGTAGTTCCCCAACCCAATTTTTGCATTGAAAAAAAAGTTTTGGCTCTGCTGGCCACTGTACAGTGGTTATCATTTGGACCATTCCAAAGGTCTGACACAAATGTAAACTACATCTAGCAAGTTAGAGAGAGGACAGAAAATAAGATAAATGTACAAAACTTCTAGGCCATTACATAATATTCCAAAGACATAAATGCAAAAGTCTAGGCCCTTTAAGGTATGCAAAAGTAAATGCCTGCATTTCAGAAAGTGTTCCTAATTTATGGTACTATATTTACATAAAGCTATATTATCAAAGCAGTCTCAAAACACACGTCATTTGAACACACAACTAATGTAATTCTTTAGCTGAATGATCTGTGGCTGTGAAATGCAACAGCATTCCCTCCTAAAAGCAACTGCTGAGGCAAAAACAGGTCCGTATTCATTCTCTGTACAGTGATCAATATGATCAGAGATGGTCTCAGGCCCTAAATTACAGCATAATCCACATAGCCTGACAACTACAGAGACATGAGAATCCTAAAACTGCAACGTGCTACAATGGCTCTGTAAAAACAGCAATGGATCTGGGTATAATGAATTTGAAGGAAAACCACTGCATCCAACCCATTCTCAGACTTCCAATTTAACCATTACGCTGAGAACAAAATTGTCCCAAGAACAAGACTGAATATACTGAAGTCCGAGGAAGATGGTTTTAAGTCTGTGCAAACCAGAGAAGCAGTTTGATGGCTGTTTTGGCATGATATTTGCACATTATGGAAACTAAAATGGGTGCTAAATTATTAATAAAAGAGAACCAGTAAATTATGCTACGTATCAAGGCATCATGATTCTTTATTTACAACAAAAAAGACAGATACTGCTGTCAAGGTATCTAATGTAATACTGTAGTACCTTGCGTTGAAACAGCTGCTCAAGAACTTTGCTTCATCAAAATTGTACAAGTATGTAAAACATATGTTCTCAAGTAAAAGTTATTGCTTGGTTACGTACAGACACTGAACTCCTCTTATATACCTAATTGCCCTCCTCAAGTCATCCAGTGTTATTTTACAAAATACTGTATCTTGTGAAAAGGTTATGGCTGTTTTGTGGTGACATCTCATTCTAAACCTGCAGGATTTTGCAAGTGGAAACTGCCGAGGGCCATTGACTTTAACAAGTAGTAATGCAGTTCTGGGTTTCTGTAACTTCCGAACATCTGTCTTGCTTGTTCCCACAGCACTTTGTTAAAAGACAATTAATTAATGTACAAACTACTAGAACTATAAATCTGAACAGCCACAATACTTTGTATTTTTCTATGGCTCACAGCATATACCCTGCCATTCAATGTGGTACAATTCATATCAAGAGCAAACTGAAATCAAACATCTGCAACAATCAGTCACAAATGTCCTCTAAAGACTAGGCTTAAATAGTATCTATTGCATGGGATTGTTGTGTTTTAATGAGTATTTAGTAAGCGTATTTAAAAAAAAATTAAAGGGAGCAATGTGCAGATAAAGTTCTTGATATCTTGTGATGTGCTGGAGTCACGGGAAGAAGTTTCCTCGTTTGGAATCAGGTTGACATCAAAGATATAGGCTCCTTTGTGCCAGTCGTACTGATATTACAGTATTCTCATTTTGTGTCAATGCAAGGATTATTATCATTGTTAAATTCTAATCGTGAAAGTTATTTCATTGTTTCAAAGCTAAGCATTTCAGAGTAATCCTGCCTCGCAAATTTTATATATGGCTAGAGATAATCGAAGATATGAAGGAATTGATTGCATAACTGTGATGAAAGCCAGAGGATGCTGTTCTGTGATGGACAGATAACAGAATGCAAAGGACCTGAAGTAAGAGGAAAACCTCAAAATGGCTTCTTGCTTCTGCTGCAGAACTTGGCCTGGGAGAAAACATACAATGATTTGTGGGGTGGGGAGTACCTGGCTGCTGCTCTTAGGAGGGTAGGGTAATGAAGGAATGGCACCTGAAGACATCAGCTGTTCCTGTGGGAGCTTCTGGGAGAACCTGACCTTCTGTCAATGTAAGAAGGCAGGGGGAGGAAAGTGAAATGATGTGCTCTGGGAGAGATGAGAGACTACCCAAGTCAAATAAAAGACCACTGTATGAAGGAATGATTTTTAATTTAGTAACACATGTTGGTGCATGTATTTCCTGCCATTTCATTAAAGGAAAAGGGTGAGAACGTCAAGTCGATCTATCTGCCTGGTCAAGGGAGGTAAGGGTAGAACTCAAAGCTAGCTATTCACCTGCAGGATGTTTTAGTTATAACTGAACCATACATTCCAAATATTAACAGCACCACAGAGCAGAACCATGGGATAAAAGATAATACAGTAGAAGCTTGAATACCTGCCATATGAACATTGTCAGTTATTGTTTCCAATGGAGCAATTGGACAAACATAATCAGGAGATTCCTTCATAAACAGGCTCGCTGCTGCGGTCAGATGACCGCCTTCCTGCAGTCTTATTTCCATTTGGTTTCATCAAAAACATTAGAACCATTTTAAAACCCATTTAGATATCTTCAAAGATCAAAATTCTTTATTCTTACACCATTCATTCAGTTTTTTAAAAAAAACACAGCAACCCCGTCAAAAAGCTTCATTTCTAAATACTGTCAGAGGAGAAGATGGCTGAAAGCCTACACACTGGATTAAATAGCAGAAAATTCATCAACCACAGTGGATCAAAAACAAAAAGAGCAAAAGAGGTGATCATTCTGCAAAACGACGGTAGAATTACATTCATCGGACAAGGTTCCAAGCCGATGTCAGTCTGTTGTGAGGACAGACGTAAGTCACACTTATGGTGAATGCAATTGACAGACTGAGCAGCTTCAGCATGTTGCTGCAAAAGAGCCCATCATTCGGTTAGCAACTCTTGTAACAAACATTTTCTCTGAGACGGTCTGAGAGTTCGATTGGCTACTGCACGTTTCTTGGCTTGATGTGGAGCTTGTTGGTTGGCGTATCCGTTGCCACCTAAAAGCGCTGACCTTGTACTGTACATCAGCAAACACGTGGACCTGGTTGGTTGAAGATGGGAGGAATAAGCAATCTTGAGGGTCAGCAAAATTTCTGCAAAGTGGAAGAGCATGAAATGAATATTGAATTAAACAGAAACACACACAAATCGGACTTAAGTATTGATATATGTAACAATATAAACATTTGATGAGCTCATATTGCACCCAAAAAAATTTAAACCAATTTTCACTGATAAATACATTTTTGGTGACAGTCAATCAGTAAAAAAAAATATTTTTTACCCACATTTCTTTTTTAAAAAACAAATTTACCCATTTGGCATCCTTGATGGTTTGCACACATCCCAGAAGCTGCTTTGCCAGTTCCAGGAAAGTGTAAAGAATGTGAGCAGGCTCTGGGAAGCTGTACATTCCCACAGCTAGCAGTGTAATGAGGCAGGGTTTGTGGATACGCAGTCAGTTTGATTCGTTTTTTTTGCATTGATCTATGTAGGTGTCTTTTTTCTTTTAAAAAAAGACATTTTGTTAATATTATTCATTTAGAGAAATGTTTTTGGACAATTTTCCCAAAGTTTGTTTTGTTACCCCACCCCCCTCTCCAGTTTGACGGGAAATAAGATTCCAAAAAAATTGAGCTTTGTATGTGGAATAAAACCACAAATAAAAAAACACAGGTTTTATATTGTGGTCCTTACATACACACAGAAACTATATCAAGAATAAATTACATTTTCAAGGATCCAAAATATGTTTTCATTCAAATTCTGTACTTTCAACACCATTGCCAATACACAGATTAATATTTTGTTGTGTGTCCCCTCTTCTGAAAAGAATGACTCATGCTAGTGTACAGTTCCCTCCTTATGCTGCTGGGGTCTCTGCTCATGTTAGTGTACAGTTCCCTCCTCACGCTGCTGAGCTCTCTGCTCATGTTAGTGTCCAGTTCCCTCCTCACGCTGCTGGCCTCTTTGCTCATGTTAGTGTTCAGTTCCACAATCAACAACCACCTATGTCGTCTTGCCCAAATACCCATTTGTCACTTGTGTGGTCAACCCAGCAGAAAATCACAACAGAGCTCGATTCTATTCTCACCCAATATACAATAAATAAAATAACCCTTACATTTGAATTAGCTCATTTCACATTGGGAGGATGTCCCAAAAACCTTTACAGGATTTAGTGTAATGTATAGTATGTCTACACTGTGGGCAATTACAGCAACAATTTGTGCACAGCAATTTCCCACAAACAGCCATGGAGTGAATGAACAATTTTATTGAGGAGGAGAAATGTTGCCCGAACACTGGGGGAAACTCCCTCTCTTTTCGAATAATGCCAAGGGATCTTTAGCACCCAACAACAACAACAACAAGATTACATTTGTATAGCGCCTTTCACATCGGGAGGACGTCCCACCTGGACAGGCAGATGGGACCTCAGTTTAACGTCTCACCCAACGGAAAAGAACGGCACCTCAGACTACATAGCGCACCACCAGCACTGATTTTATTGGAGCGTCAGCATAGACTATATGAGTTCCAAGCCCCAATGTGGGGCATAAACCTATACCTTCCTGATTCAGAGACAAAGGTGCTATCAACTGAACCAAGAATGCTACCGATATACAACTGTACATTTCAGCCAGGGTCACAAAACAGTACTTAGGAGCTATACAAGCCATTTATTCTGCCTAGCCCAATATACAATAAATATGCTGAGGCAGAGTGCTGGTGTCCTGGATGAACTCTTTCCAAACAAGATTTCATTGTTAATCTTCCTTGTCTCAGTTTTACAACATGTGTCTTCAGCAACTGAGACAATGGATGAGCGACATTAATGCTCTTTAATAATGCATAGTTTGTCTTTATATCTACAGATTGAATATTTTAGGTCAAAATTTCAAATTTACACCACTCTGCTGATTTGAAGTGATCATGTCTAATAGCAGGAAATGTAACTGCAGTGTACAACAGCAGTAAATAAATTAACATTCTGCCTGCACTAGAGACACTATTTTACTGTTTAAATGTTTTACAGCAGCATTGCTTCCTAATGAGGCTGCGGTGTATGTGTTTTACTTTCTGGCATTACTATTCCGTTAGTTAATAAATCTGTTGCTTGTACTAATGGGAAGAAATTTAAATTATTTATTACAATTGGTTATTGTAGCACTCCTGTAAGAATAATTCTTTTAAGGAAACAGCCAAAAAAATTTACATGAGCTACAACTAAACATCCAAAATGCATCCTTGGTGCTAAATATTTGATGCAACTTTACAAGGTTTAAGAGTGCAATAAGTACTTTGAATCAGCCAGTGTAAAGACTATATATTGCACAATAATGTTTTTCTTGACCTCAAGAAAACCTCAAAAGAACGAAAAAAAATTTAACATCATTCTGAGTCTTACTAAAAGGTTAGAGACTATAATGAAATCCTATGAATTTACAATTTAATAACTTGTTTAAATTTTTTAAAATTATTTTATGCAAGTATTCTAGATTCACCCCCTTATTTTGTCTCTTAAGCTGCTGCATTTCTGCTTTTGATAGGCTCCCAGAGAAAAGTGAACCAAGGCGAATATTACTAACCATAAAATACAGCCAATTCACTTTACAGTATATTCTGTGAAGCGCTTTGAGCTGCCTCGAAGACGTGATAAGGTGCTATATCAAGTGCAAGGATTATTATTTTTATTATTAACCAGCCTGCCATCAAACCTGAGATGAACTCAGTATAGGCTAGAAAATCAAATTTGGACCTTCCTGGTCTCCATTCATTACTGGGCTTGCCTTCACCAACAGAGCCACAACAAGAGCCATAAAGGGGTCTAATATGCAATATTTGCAATCAAATTAGTTACTTCAATAATCATTTTTATTTCACAGCAGAGAACATGGCCATTCGTGCCATTCACTGGCAATAAATTTAACAAACCATAAATTACAATCAACACTACAAAATTTGGTTGGTAGATTACGTATGTAAAACATCATTTGTTGAAATGAAAGAGGAATAATTGATATTCAGTGAATTACTAGAGAATCAACTGAGGTCTACACAATAATAGGTTTTCAGTGTTCCACGATCCTGCACTTGCTTCAAGAATCATTACTTTGTTTGCTAAATAGAGGAATGTAAACCAAATGGTGATTTGAAATAATTCTGTACGCTGCACTATTCCTGGCCACTAGATGGGGATATGTTGGTAAGAGTGAGGTTGTAAATTGTGATTTGTAGATGTAAATCTGATTTAACATCGTAGTCCAAGCCAGGCAATTACAGAATTTGTGCCTCTACAGTTACTACCTGATTTCTAAAAAATCACTACTGACATGGGGAAATCTAATATTAGCAATATTATGAATCGATTATCGGTGATTTTGGCCATATTGCAGAACATCTGTCAGCAGCTTTATAGCTGAGCAGAATGTTTAGTCACAATTCCCGACGCTCTATCTTCTTAATTCTATTATTTCTACTAGGTATAATTTACTATCATGAATATACTTTACAGAATACTCAATCTATTCTGTAAAGCAGACTTTGTTGTGATTTGCTCCACCTCCTACCAGTTTTCTTTTATAACAATAATAATTATTTCATTTGATATAGCGCCTTATAACGTTTTAGAAACGTCTCAAATTGCTTCACAGAATATACTGTAAAGTGATTGACTGTATATTTTGTGTTTTACAATCTTTTTAGTGAGGCAGTAGATGTAGTGTTGAACAAACCAGTCTATTCTCTCAGTTTATAGTTCTAGGTACATGCTGTGAAAACTAGACACCAGTCCTTTTCAGACCTGGTACTGTTCCTTACCCGAGACCCATCCCCGTCTGGTTTCATCATGTCCATACTGGACAGTTGGCTCTGGAAAAGGTTGCCTCCCCTCATGCTGGGATTATTCACCTAATAGCAACATTAACAAAATGATCTAATATCAGTGCGTGTTTTAGACATTTTGTTTTAAAGCTTAAATGGCAAAAAAAAATTGGGGGCATTATTCTTGTTCTGATATTTAATTGTTGACAGTGTGCGTAATAATAGAATTCCCACAATAAGAGCACTCAGCAAAAGTCAGTAAATCGGGACGTCCTCCTAATGTAAAAGGTTCTAAATAGAGTGGAAGCTGGTTAAGACGGACACATCAGGGCCGTTCGTTTTGCCCAGCTCAGCTGCAATATCCTACCTCTTCTGCCCCATTATATCAAATAGGCACCAGCACATGAAAAATGAGTATGGCAACGGAGCCATCCGCATGTAGGGAACTGTACCCCCATCTTTCTCCTCCACCATCTCCTACTTTCCCCAGGAGAGAAAAAAAATGTGCATATCTTTACCCAGTCTTAGATTTGACCTTTTTAAAATACGTATGGGTGCAAGAAAGTATCATAGTTGAGTTTATAACAAATTTCAGTTGCAATCTTGTGCCAGCACTACCCTGTAAGTTGACAACAAGAGGTTACAAGAGTGGCCTGAAGCAGCCTGCCACACAGATATCTGATAGCTTCGCATTTTGAGTTTGCAAAAAAACTGCCATCAGGGAGTTGAATCCTTGCAATAAGCAACTGGACCAAGTATTGTGAGTCAGCTGTTAGGTGAGCATGGAGAAAACAAATATGGAGAGTATCAGGATGGTTAAAGAGAAAAAAAAGACAATTCTAGAAGATTCAATTATAGCAATGAAACAGACAGACAGTTTAAATAAGACAGCAGACCATGATAGGGTACTGTGCTTGGGATGAATAGCATATGAAAAATAAAATTTAAGATATTCTAACAGGACTCAAATCATTAAAACAAGCTGATCCTTTACATGTACTGGTCCAGAATTTTGATGGAGACATTTTCTGGCTCCTGCAATAATAAAATTTGCAGAATCTATTCAATGTGATAATTAACATTTGTTTTAAATATTTTTTTTCTTGTTGATTAATTGTCATTGCGGTCGAAGTGGGATGACTTTCATTTTAACCAGTAAAAAGCTGCATATCCTTCAAACTGCTTTCATAAAATAGCACTTTCGGTCACCTTTCCACCCCTCGGTTTCCATTCCCAGCTCAGGTGCCAAGCCAGTACCATTAAGCTCCTTGGGATGATCTATAATGTGAAAGGTGCTATATAAATGTAAATTTGTTTGTGTTGCATTCAATTCTCAATATATTTCTGTTTTATCTAATCACAGTGAAATGTATTCTACTGGAACACTCCTGGCCACAAATACTTTTGGTTTGGAACTGATTTACCATAAACAATTCATCACAGTTCCATTTTGTCCCCAAAAGATTATTCATTGGTTAAAATTCCACAATCCTCTGTGTGATCACATTGGGGAAGATGATTCAGTTAAAGCTTAATCAATTGGTCTAACAATACAATCTGTTCAGGTAATTATAGTGTTAGGCCGACCTCTTACCTGTTCAGCACCCATAGACGACAGTTCTGATGTAGGCACAGAGGTCATTGAGGTCATGCTAATCTGCCCTGACATCTGATTCATGTTGTTCATACCAGTGGTGTTGGTTGCCATTGAAACACTGATGTTCATATTGTTGCTATACATGCTGGTGTTTGCTTGTTGTCCAAACTGTGGTGGTGACTGCTGTGAAAACATGCTGTTACAGGAGGAAAAACAAAGCAAAGTTATATGCAGTTTGATGTGAACAACAACAACTTTGCTTTATATAGTGCTCCTCACACAGGGTAGTGTCCCAGAGCTACAACAAACTGTTCACCTACAATAATAGACACTACACTTTACAACTTTTTGAAGCATTTGGAGACACCCTCCCCACCTGAAAGGTTCTATATTGAATGCAAGAATGATTATGAACCTATTACTATGAGGGGTGTGTCCAACAGAATGAGGTTATGTTTGAGTTGGGCACAATTATTTTAAGCAGACTGCAGGGCCATTAGCTGCCACTTCCTGCTCTCTGTTCTACATTAAATATTTACCCATTTCCATTTATGTTCTCTAATCCTTGAAAAAAAATAGTCAAAGTAAATATCCTGGACTAGTTCAGGAAATGCGTTCACTTTGCATGTTGATAATATTGTTACATCTCACCCACGCTTTCTGTATACATCTACATGAATTCCATACGATTACAATAAAGAAAGACAAATGCTGAGATGAAATAAAAAAATTGAGTTTGTTCAATTACTGTTGAGAAATGATTAGAAATACCTGTTTCCATTTATGTTTCCCTGTGACCAGCCGTTAATCTCAGAAGGTGACTGGTAGGTAGGTGTAGATTGAGATTGTTGCATCATAGGACTCTGTGTATGAGCCATTCTTGGGGACATTAGTGGGCTTTGAGGGGTTGTAGACCCACCAAATCCTGGATCAGGCTGCTGAGTCATCCCTGTAGGGAAATAAATCAGTTTGCAATTGTGAACTCCACAAGCCTCTCTGCACAAGTTTTAATACATTTAATATCTAAAACCTTACAAATAATTATCTTATGCATAAAGCATTTTATTAGAGGTTATATCACAAAGCCCGTCAAGTGTTTTTAGTAACAGAGATGTAACTTATATTATATTGTTGCTTTAGATTTGCACCAATAGAAAGCTATCATTAGGACAAATTGGATAACCTTCACATGAACATACTTTTAGTGCATATTAATAACATTTTGCATTTCAACTCCATTTTCCATATAAAGAGAGCACTATTCCAAGAACAATGAATCCTTTCACTCACACCTTGGTAGATGCAAAAAGTTACTTGCAATGTGCAGGTAAACCTCTATTGTGTATTTGTCTCTTCTATCCTGTGCATACAGATTCCCTCTTGATGCTTTAATGTGATACAATTATACCAGAAATAGGAAGAGATTTGATCAATTTGTTGTGTTTAATGACAAACATTACCATTCTAGTTAATTAATGTATTAATCTCTCAATGGTAATCACACTCAAAGTCTCATACACAAGTGCTTTTACATTCTGAAGTGCTACGAATCCACGTATGTTACAAGTGAACCTCCGCTCTTGTTCTGATATCTATCCATATTGTATCCAGGATGTAGCTCATTTACAAATGACAAATTACCTATTACCATTGAATTTAGGTACACGTTGACAAGAGCGTGCTGTGTGCTGGGGCGGGGCAGGGGTAACTGCTGGAATTTGACCAGCAAGAGTAAATAATTTGCTTGTGTTCAGAGAAGCAGATTCATTATTAATTGTGAGTTTGGTAAGCCAAGTCAAGTTCCAGGCATTTGGAAATAGAGCTACAATTTCCCTCAGCCTGCCTGAATTTGAAAGACACAAAACACAACTTAAAATTACTTTTTTTTAAAAAAAAGTACATTTTAAAACATTGAATTGAACAGAATGAATTAGAATCAAAACTAAAAACTAAGTAGATGGTGTCCTGTAGCTCAGTGGTTAGAGCACTCGCTTTGCAAGTGAGAGACCTGAGTTCAATTCCAGGCACAGGGCGAAACCTTGGGCAAGTTTCCTTACTCCACACACCTAATAATAATCCCTCCAAAACCAAAACAATAATAAATTGGTCATTTTCAATCTACGACTGCTTGTGGGACATTGCTGTGCGCAATTGGCTGCCGCGTTCGCCCACAGATGTACAGTCAATTCACTTTACAGTGTGTTCTGTGAAGCGTTTTGGGTCGTCCTCCCGACGTGAAAAGCGCTATATCAAATGCAAGGATTATTATTGTTATTATTATAGAAACTGAAAACGCAGACAAAACAATGAAAAAGTCATAGCAGGAAATAGATTAAGGTTTCTGGTATGACCCTTTCACACTGCAAATAACTGCAGTGGTTTAAACAGAAGGTTCACCAGCCAGTGACATTTAAAAGAAGTTAGATATTTGAATAATGATTCCAACTGGATAATTTACACTGCCCAAAAAGAATGAAAGAGTGAACAATTCCCAAATGGAAACCAAGGTTGTGGTTACGCTATAGAGAAAACAACCTTACAGGAATCTAATAACCAAATACATTTTAAAAAATACTTAGTTTTGGAACAATTTTAATAAAAGATGTTTTTAAATGTTCTGTAGTCCAAATAGTTGAAACCATTCCACTGTTACATTCTCACATATTGTATGGATAGATCTTTTTAACAAGTGATGGTGTGAAACATTATCAAAGTTCTACATAGGTGGCGTTGGAGATTTCAAATCCAATAGAGTAACATGGATACTTGCTAAGTTACCCTTTTAATTTAAAAATTTAATTCCATGGAATTGTTCTCAAATTCTTTATGAAGGTTTACACTCCAACATTTAACCTCTGTCGTTCGCTGACTGCATTTCCAGCACTGTAATTTCCTTTCTAATTAACACCTACGGTTTAACATTTTACCTTCAGACAGTTCTCACATTCTTCGATTTCTCTAACTCCCATCTTTTAAAAAAAATACCAATTATTGACCCTGAAATTGCTCATTAACTTGCACTGTGTGGAACACAAAGTTCTAGATTTCTTAAGAATTCCAACAGGTGGCCAGAATCGAGTACAACATCACTTATTTCAAGGTAAAGAGATAGTTAAGCTTTGCTTCGTGAAGGAAATCAAATTCAAAGTAAGATGTTGGGCTGGTGGAAATGAAAGGAAATGGAGGAAAGGAAAATGAGACAATTTTTATTATAAAAACAAAAACGTAATTTAGATAATCACAATAAAAACCTTTTCTTGTAATTATCTGGACAAATGACTGAAATAAATGCCAACAAAATGTTCCTAGGTGAATAATTCATTTTACAGTGCATTCTGTGAAGCGCTTTGAGACGTCGAGAAGACGTGCAAAGCGCTATATCAAATACAAAGATTATTATTATTATTATTATAATCCATAAAAAATAATTTCTTCCCTGACTAAAATCATAATAACCTATTGTGTTTTTAATGAGCTGCCTACATGTAAAATCGTACTAAAGCTAACCAATCCAGTTGGAAAATATAAAAGAAAAGCAATATTCTCGTCAGCTTTTGAAATGTTCAGGACTTGTGCTCTCTTTATACCTCATCTAAAACAACCACCAAACACTGTATTCGATTACCATTAGCCAAAAGTATGTTTGGAAACCGGAGCATGCTTATTATTAGTTATAAACGCACATTCACAGAAAAGTGGAAGACAAGGTAAGGTTAAATAAGACAAGGAAGAGGCACATTACAAGCGACAGCTCCACACCCAATGCAAAGCCAAAATCCCCAACACACAAAGACAAGAATGACGGTCTTTACAAAAAAGTCATTCTAATAGTTAATAGCACTCAGAGGAAAGGCAGTACCTGAGCTGGGAAACTGGAAGGCATTGTGCTGCATTTGGGGACTCATTAAAGGCCCAAACTGTCCTCCCACATTTCCCATCATTCCCTGGTTAGCCAGATTCATCTGGGAGCCATGCAAGGAGCTGTGAGAGAGGAGCTGTGACCCAGGATTGGGGGACACTGGGGAGAAAGGACTGGTGGAGGGTGGCGGGGAAGTGAGCCCAGTACCATAGTTCGGAGGGTATGGGAACTGTTGTGGTGATGCCTGAGGAATCCGAGGAGTGCTCATGGCACCTGCCATGTTGCCAGGTGCTGCCATACTTTGTGGGATAGTCAGACCCTGCTGTCGCATCATCATCGTTCTCTGCTGCACCTGTATCATCTGTTTTTGGCGCAGATGCTGATTTAAAAGTTCACGCTGTCTCTGGGCCAGCATCTGTGCATTGATAGGTCCCTGAAGAATAAATGGAAATGTTTCACTATATACATGCAATATGATAATGATAGCACATGATATGATTTACATGCGAACATTTGATGGGTTTTATATGGTTTCAAAAGGACTAGGAGGTTTCACTGGAAATATTTAAGTAGACAGAATAGCACACCTTAATAATCTCTTCACGTCAGGGGGATCTATATGCGCTGAAGATTTAAGCATATCACTAAAAGTAATGAATAGCTCTTGTAATATTTCTCCACATTACGTCCTGCATTTTGTTTAGCAGATTTCTTTCACAACACAAATATTCAACAGCGTCTTTCGGTTCATTTAATTTTTCAAAACTACATGAGTTATTGTGAAAATTTTCATGAATAAGCAATTAACTATTCTGATTAAAATGCTGCTTTGATTCTGGTCTGTCTATCAGATCTAATTACTATGGGAAACTACCCATCTCTGTACATTGTAATTGCAAGAACTTCTACCACTGCAATCTTTTCAGCTGGCTGTAGCATGCAGTAGTCTGAGGAAAAATTATGTTCAACATTCTTGCGTTACCTCAATGCTTATTGTTTTTCCCAACGGCAATACTTACGTGCTATTTGAACCAGTATATGAGAGCTCACTTACTGAATCTGGTACAACTTTGCCCTATATAATGTACTGTATGCTAGAATCTCATTTTAATGCAGGTTCACTTATTGGGGTGCGGACCCCAACATTTACCTATCAAAAAAATCCAAAATCAATGTGCTAGCAACAACGGCACTTCAAAACATCGGCTAATGTGTACAAAAAGCCAAAATGGTCGACTTCCAGATCCTTTAGTTGCCATAGACATGGTTTCCTGCCTGCGCCTTCCATGTGCCAGAGACGCCCATGGTAGTAGTAAGCTATCTGCCTGCATGTGGAAGTGTTGACCCACAAATCGTGACCCATCATAGCGCTGGTTTGGAATTTATGAACCAACACATTACACTGGGTTCTACTGCAGATAGTAAAACAAATTTGACCCATTATCTGAAATATGCTGAAATAATTTTCATATGGTCTACTGATTAATAAATGCTGATCAGCACGGTCCAATTTGCCCCTCAATGGCCTTGTGGATCAAGGCCTAGTCCATACTAACTAGTTTGTCACAGGCATGAAATTGTTGATCTTAACTGGAGCAGCAGTTGAGATGATTCAATTGGTCTCAACAGCCCTACAGAGGTGTGTGAGAGAGATGTGGGGGCATACAAAGAGAGAAATTCAGCCAGGAAACAGTCAGTGCTGGGGGGAACGACGAAAATTACCACTTATTACCACTTATTGTTCTGGAGGAGGAGGCATAGCAATGCAATTACTTTTAGCTGATAGGAAACATTTCTGCCAGCCTGTTTGTTGTGAGAGGAGAAGGGAGTGAGCGAGGGCAACTGCAAGGCTCAATAACTATGTGGAAGCCAGGAATACTGACCTACACCTTTCTCATTCCTCCTGTCAGGATGACCAAAATCCTGATCCTTGAGAGCATCAATGAAGAGACTCATTGGTTTTCTTACTCAACATCCCCTCACGCAACACTTGCAAGCAAGGGTCACTAGACAGCAGTCTAACGCAAGAACCCAGACAGATTTTTCAACCTGCTATTTTCTTGAGAAAGAATGCTGGAGCTATTGTAATACCTCCATTACCATCTTAACCAAGTTCATAAGCTACAGTTCTGTAACACTCACCTATTCAGCCATGATTTGCATTTCTACTCATTTCTATTTACATATAGAAAATAATTTTATTTATAGCACAACAATGAGAAAAATACCTTACATCAAATAGTTTATTTTGCCTACCTGACCACTCATCTGTGGTGGCACACTAGCTCTTAGAGGTAGATTCATGTTGGAGACGGTGTTGAGTGGATTCATGAGTGCCTGTCGATTCTAGCAAAAATAAATAGATTATGGAATGTATAACAAGCATGAAGGATTACAGCAGATTTTATACTCAGCAAGAGTATAAAGGTGAATAGCAGAGAATATCCGTTATTTTGCAAATGTGAAAGGCTCTCACATCAAATGTCTGCCATGATGGAATGGGTTGCTGTGGAGGAGCTAGCTCCAGCAGACACATTTGCCAAACACTCTCCTGTGCTTGAAATAATTCTTGGTGTAAATACCCCAAAAGAGACACCAGTTCTAACATGATGGGCACCTTTTTAAAAACCATTCTGAAATGCATCATGCGATGCAAATCCATAAATGGTGAAAATGTTGATCTACTTCATTTATACCCCCACATGAGGCCTTTGAACTCTAAGTCTAGGGTGGGGGAGCACTACCTTGTTGCCATACTTTGAATGACTTTAACCTTAGGGTCTGTCTGCCTGTTCAGGTGGACATTAAAGATCCCAAGGCATTATTTGAAATAATGTGGGGAGGATGGAGTTTCTCCCAGTGTCCTGGCCAACAATCCTCTGATTAAAAATTGGTCATTTATTTCATGGCCATTTGGGGGACACTGCAGTGCGCAAACTGTCTACTGCATTCATCTACAATACACAGTCACTACACTTTACAGTATATCCTGTGAAGCACTTTGAGACATTTTGATGAGTGATATAACGCTGTATTAAATACGAGGATTTTTTTTTTATTATTATTGATAGTTACTCTCCTCAGCAGTAAAAATATCTAGATTACATAAGTAATCTTTCCTTAATTATTAAAATTGGGAATTTTGAAACTACTTTTAATAAATATTTCCTATTGAAAGTTTTGCTCTGCTTTTCCTGCTGAAGTTAAATGGCTTTCACTTTTCAAATACTGTTTCGCACAGATGTGATACCGTGGTACTGTTGATCTGTGTTCTCAAGGTGGTACTTCAGTACATTAATTAGATATGGATGCCAGTGTTCATTACACTTCTGTGTAACACAGATCAATAATTTTTATTTCTCTTACACTACATTTTTTTTTAAAATAATAAATTGGTCACTCAATCCACGACTGTTTGTGGAACACTGCGCAATTGGCTGCCGCGTTTTGCCCACAAAATATACAGTCAATTCACTTTACAGTATATTCTGTGAAGTGCTCTGAGACGTCTCAAAGACGTTATAAGACGCTATATCCAATGCGAGGTTTATTATTATTATATTATTACATTACAGAACAGCACTATAATAAGTGTTCCCCGACCTCAACCACCATTTTAAAGGAATTGCAAATGTGAAACTATCACGTGAGAATTACCATTTGTTGTCCTTGAAGCCTTTGTTGAAGTTGAAGCCGAAGTTGATTGGGCTGGTTGGGTACCATACCAGGCCTTAACCCAGGCCTTTGCTGCATACGCAGCATTGGGTATCCAAGTCGCTGTGCCATTTGATTAGCCATTGGATGAAAGCTAGGTTCCTGCATGGTAGAGTAATTCCCTTGTACAACTGTAGTCTGAGGAGAGTATGGCTGACTGTATGCTTGAGACTTTTGATCTACCATCATTGTGGAGGGCTGGCTGGGGAATGATTCCTGTGAGTGATCCACATTTTGGCTCTGTGTAAACAAAGGAAAGATAAAAAATATATTCAAAATCTGCCGCACTGGGCAAATTTGTTAATGCAAATGAACGAGTATAAAAGCTATACTTTTATATGTGAAAGAAGCAACTCAACTGGAAAACTTAATTTGGGATTAAAACTGGCGAAAACTATGCTGTGGATTTTGATTTTTTCACACGGCAATTACACTAATACTCCACAGTAAAGCAGCTTCGTTCAACGTTTACAAAGTTCCCTTTGGAATGGGTCCACTTAACGACTGATGTGTGAACAAAGTAGTGCGTGAGGTCTCAAACTGCTTGTTAATTCAAATTACCTTTGGTCAGCATTTAGTGTGTGCACCAAACCAATGGTTGCTGTAGCATACAACTAGTCCATTAAATTTCTCAAAAAAAATTTAAACAGTACAATTGTTTTAAACCACACAAAAAGGTTCGGATAGCTGGATATGATGTACCACATGTGTAAAACATTTGACACAAGTAACTAAATTTTTACTGTAGTTATTTTGTAGAATGCTCTTTGCTGCTGCCGATGAGAAAGCAGGTCAAAACAACTCAAATGTTGAGATTCCATCATATGTGATAAGTTCTATATCTCTGAGACTGAACAGATATCCTTTGTAGATTGGCATATACAACATTATTAACTGCGAAGGCAGATTCTTCATTTCACTATTTAACAAGCTGCCAACTAGCAATAAAAAAATGACAAACTCACAAAATCTATTCCTTTGTTTTTGTCCACTTGTTTACAAGCTATCTACAATTCAAATATCATTACATCCTTGTCCCAATAGCCACATCTGAATTAATTATATTAATGTTATGACATTGCTTTCCAATTGCATAAATAATAATGCACCACAAACAATACTGTCTGTTGTAGTCACTATTTCACATTTATAACATGCAGCCAAAGATGGTTCATTGAATTCATTATTTTGCCTTTTCACGTTTCAAGTTCTTTCATAAAGGGATCATTAAACTCGGCTTGTGTTTATTAGACGTTTATGCATACAGATTAAGGAGATTAATTTCTGTTACACAGCAGTCATCTTTTAATCATAATTTAAAAGACTTTCTGAATCTTTTTTCACCTTCTTTTAGAGATTACAGGGAATGCACTTTATTGACTGGGTGCAATTTCTCAGCAGCCAATAAACAAATGGCCAACTGGTCATCAGGGTTAACATAACATTCTGCATGAAGCGAGCTTTGAGGAAGTGGTATTTGTGGTACTTCTCACACTTAGCGTACAGGAGGTGACATCAGCAAGTCTGCTACGGGGGAGACCAATTAAACAGTCCTGGAAGCCAGCCGGGTGTGCCAAATTTTGTTAGCGAAGAAGACCTATGCTCGAAGTAAGTCAAAGCTCTATCATAGTATTATAACAGGGTTCATCTGTATTCAGTGCAATTAGGTTTTATCCTGGCAATGGGGCCCATTGGCACTTTTTTAGTATAAATAATAGAATTCTTATTAAACCATTAGATCTTATTGCTTCACTCTAAATTGCTGGGCCCAAGCTGAGAGAATATAAGGCATTACAGCACATGTACACCCTGAATAATCCTGAAGTTATTTTATAATTTGAAGTTCAAGTCGTGCAGCAATTCATAATGCCTAAATCTGGTTGATAAATTTCAAAAGCTTTAAAAAGGTTTTTAAATCACATTTCCAGCTTTTAATTATTCTTGGCAAGTCAAATGGACCATTTAATGCAACAATTAATAACCAAAATAGACGATTTGTTTGTTTTGCTTCTAACTTCTTTTAGAATCTTGTGGAGTCCTGTATCTTAGTGGTTAAAGCACTCGCCTCGCAAGCGAGAGGACCTGGATTCGATTCCCGGGCAGGGCGAAACATCAGGCAAGTTTCTTTACTCCACACGCCTCTGTTTACCTAGAAGTAAGTAGGAACCCAATTAGTCATTGGCAGATCGCTTTTTCGGGGGTAATAATCCTTCAAAAAAATAAAAAATGTGGTCACTCAGTCCACAACTGTTTGTGGACACTGCTGTGTGCAATTGGCTGCCGTGTTTTACCCACAAAATACAGTCAATTCACTTACAGTATATTCCTTTAAGCGCTTTGAGACGTCTCGAAGACGTAATAAGGCGCGAGGTATAAAATGCAAGGATGATTATTAAATATGCAAATTGCACCATGAGCTGCGCCACTGAGCCATGCTGATCAAGACAGACTCGGGTTCAATACCAGAGTTAGCAAATATCAACTGACCATTGGTTGGGCACACCAGCTCGCTCACGCTTCCCTGAGTTTGAAGAGACTCAGAGATGATTCTCACTTCTAATTGCTATCTCAATGAAAGCATGAATGTTGGGCAAGGAGCTGTTTAAGTCCCATCAAAAAGGTTGCGAACTCTCCTAATCATGGGTCAGGCACTAGCAAAGTGATTCAAGATACTGTGGTGGAGGTGGGGGGGGATGGGACATGGAACTGAGTTCCAGCATATAAAAAAATTATAGAAAGGAAAAGATGAGAGCAGCAACCTGTGTTTCTCAATATTCCATCAAAATTCAGGTTTATCCCTCCATCAATTTTATAGTTTTTTATCTACCACTAGGTAGGCATAATCCAAACAGCATTGATAACCTTTTAAAAAAATGCATATCACATTGGATTTACCAATCTCAGAACAGAATACGGAATTCAGATTAGGAAATTTACTGTAGCTGCAATCACTAAATCAAATGACTCATTTGATGCTACTCAAAATGTTTTATTCCAAGTGACGGCTGTTGGTTGACAAATGGAATCCTATGCTGAAGGGAACAGGCAATATTTATGAAACACAGAGAATGTTTGCTGATGTAAAGTACAGATCAAGAAATGCAACAGCATGCTCCATATTGGAGGTCTGAAATCCTATCATAGGGGATTGCCATTCTCTAATGGGATTTTTTTATACCTACCTTATAGTACCACTATTCTTAAAACTGAAACAATCTTCCTGGCCTCAGAATCTTCAGCCATATGTGAATATTTACCTGGTTTACCAGTTCAGGGATTCCTAAGGCTCGATCAATTTCCTCTAGACCAAGTTCATCAATATTTTTCAGTGCTGAGCGCAGCTGATCCAGAAGCGTGCCTTCGTCATTCGCAGTTTCCATTGGAATAGATGAACAAAGCAGTTCATCCTGAGAACTGCTGTACGATTGCCTCCTATAAACAAAATTAAAGCATAATGGTGTTAAAAATACGTTCAAGGAAGAAAACACTCCATTGCTCAATTATGAATACTACGATACCTTTTCGAACAGGTTTTGAAATAAAAATATTGTGCAAAAAGTTTAAATTCTTCAGACAATTCTAAAACAGATTAACTATATCTGAAGTTGTGTGCAGCAATTAAAACACCATCTGTTAATTTACACAATATTGCTTTGTCTCATCCCGCCTCCAGTTTTCCTTTCTTAGAAACTGTTGGCGGCACGACAGAGTGAGGTGACTGGTGGTGAGCAGACCTTCGGCAAATATCTACAGGGGAGCAATATCACAGATTGGGTGGGTGACATCTGGAACAAAATGAGATTATGTATAGTCCCACATAACATAAGAGTTTAATGGGGAGTCTGAGCAATGTTATTTGACAGTACTGATAAAATTTCCACAATATTAGTGATGATTATAAATATTACAATACAAGATTTTAAAAATTCTATTCTGAACGAGTACAATAATATCACATCTTTGGGATTTGATGGCAAAATGCTTGATATTTGCGCTTATACTAATGACTGCTGATTCAGCTGGCAGCCCTCTCTCTCACTTTGGAGTCAGAAGGTTGTGGTCCACGAGACAGTGAGCGAACAGTCTTGGCTGACACATCGATTCAGTGTTGGGAGAGTGCAGCAGTGTCAGAAGTGACATCCTTCAGATGAGATTGTTAAAGTGAGGTTCATCTACCTGTTAAGGTAGATGTTAAAGATCCCATGGATTACTCAAAAAGGGAGTTTCTCCTGGTGCCCTGGCCAATAATCCCCCAGTCAAAATAGGTCAATTATTTCATGGCTATTTATGGGATATTGCTGAGTGCAAATAGGCTGCTACATTCACCTACAAAATATAGTCACTGTACTTTACAGGAAATCAGGTGAAGCACTTTTGAGACTTTCAATGATAAGGCACCATATAAAATGTAAGGGTTAATATAATCAATGCACACTTTACTCAGACAAATCTTACAAATAATATCTTATAACGGTGTAACGTACCGGTTTTGATTGACAAAAGGTCCCTGTTCTATAGGCATTATACTGTCAGGCCAAGGTGCTGTTTGGTTTGGTGGAGCTTGCTGCTGACTGTACGGAGGACCTCCCATACCCATCTCAATATCCGATGGTCCTAATTGGTACAAAACAAAGTCATATTTCTTTTAGAAAGTATTCATTAAAAGTTTAAATAATCACCATAATGTGCAGAGTATACCCTGGATAAACTGTGAAAGGGCATTAGTCACAAAAGCAATAATTACAGAAGTATACACAAGAAATAAAAATGTTGCAACTTACCCATCATTTGTGACTGAAGCATCGGCCTCTGTCCAGGTTGGCTGTTCGGTCTCATAGGCATACCAGGTGTAGGACTACACATGATTCCTCCTTGCAAGGTTGACCTACTTAATGCGTTAGAAACGGTGTTACCTGTGGTGTTTACAGCAGAGCTTGATGAACCCCATTCTCCTGAAGCCATACTGGATCGAGGGGTTCCACTTCCCATATTACTGATCATTCCTAGAAAGAAGTAATTTATGTTGAATGAAGGCGCAGCACTTGGAAATCATTCTTCTCGTTTTCAAACTGTTTTCATTCATATATAAAAACTAAGAACTGTTATCCTTCTTCCACAACTTCCTTTTTCATCCATTTATTTATAACTGATGCCATATTGCAAACACAGCGAAGGCAACTGTGAAGCTTCTTTTTCTTAAATAAACATTAATCTCAATTATTTTCTTCTGGCAGTCGACAGTTCAGATGCTGTAAGGCTGAGTATGAATATCTGTGAACTTGCAAGCCATCGCTCCTGTATGCTGTATTACTATAAAAACTTGCTGAAAGGAAGTGCTGCTTTATGTACTAGTAACAGGTGCTGAGGAGTTTGGACAACCCCTAACTTCCTTCCTCAGGAAGTGAATCACTTTTGCTATCAACTACGTCAATGCTTTCTTTCCAAATGAATTAAACACAAACTACCAAGAACTAACAACAAGCTGATTAAAATGGAAGTCATAATGCGTTGTAATTAATGTTTAAATTGTAACTGCTGTCAAGGCCAAACTATGACAGTAAAGCGTCAATACAACTAGCTTTGTACATTTTTCTCACCTTTTTAGCTGTAGTACGGTGGAAGGAAATTACTGGAGGAATTTTCCGATGTTTGTCACAAACTAATTTATTACGGTCTACCCTAAACTGGGGAAATCCTCCTTCCATTGCGATCAAAGAAACACGTAAATGATCACAATCATTACCTAACAACTACACACTTCCAGTGAATTAATTAAAGATAATGGTCTTATGAATTGATCAGTTTTAAAGCTGGTTTACAGGATATACCGTAGTGCAGTAACTGTTTTGTAGGTAAACACGCCAGCCAAATTTATGCACAGCAATCTCCCACAAACAGCCATGAAGTGAATTACCAATTGTATCTGGGGATTGTTGGCTAAGGAATTGGGGAAAAACTCCTTTCTCTTCTTGATTATTGGATTTTTAATATCCATCTAAACAAGCACACAGGACTTCAGTTTAATGTTTGAATCTGAATATCCCACCTCTGACAATGCAGCACAGAATTGGACGAGAGGTTAGTCTGGATCTGATTTCAAAGTCATGATGTGATGCTTGAACTTACAACCGACTGACTCTAAAGAGTGCTGAAACCTGGCTGTAGGATTTACATCATCTACAATTCTACTCCCTGCCTATTTTTCAGATACTTTTTGCACAAGTTTTAGCATTTAATAATAATGCTTCTGTTTTGGTATGTCATTTCATGTCGGTTGGACGTCCTACAGCACTTCATAGGACATACTGTGAAGTTTAGTGACAAATAATCACAATCTTGTTGCACTCAATCAATGGAAGAGAAGAACAGGAACAGACAGCTATGGTTAGTCACACTTCAGGTCATACGTTTTATGACACTTACTATTTTTTGAGTCAACATACAACAGTGAGCAAGTGTAGCATATTGGCCCACAAATACTGGGTGTTCTGGCTTTCTCCAAACCTCTCAAGTATCAGTATGCAATTAATGCACATGGAAAGAATTTTGATCATTTTGCTGGGCTGATGGGGGGCAAATATGGTTTGTTGTGGATGAATAGAAAATAATTAATGCACTAGAATCTAAAAGAGGGATCAGTGATTCAGCAAAATGATTATGTATGATCTCAGGATTTAATGTTAATAAATTCATGTATACATCAATCTAGACTTTGTAACAGTAAAGAATCAGAAATTTGTAGAGCGGAATAGGGCTTATTTATCCCATCGAACCTGCACAGGCTCTCAGAGCAAGCTTTTCTTTCAAACCTACTGCCCTGCTCTATGCCCATACCACTTCAAACTCCTTTCATATACAGTAAACCTCTGGCTTGAAATGAAACCGAGTCGGACAGGGCCCAAAACAAATTATTTTAAAAATTTCTACGAGCCAAAAATTTCTGTGGTCTGTGTATAGACAGCCCCCTGCTGGCCCAACTCTCCTAGTGCACACCATCGCCCCTCCCCGGTGAGCGGCCCGGCCCAAGTGATGCCCACAGCTTCCCACTTCTGTGCACAATTGACTGCTGCGTTTCGCTTGCAGTCAATACACTTTATAATATATTCTGAGTCGTCTCAACGACGTGATGAGCAGCTATATCAAGAGACGAGTAACCAAGATTACATCACCTATTTGGAATTTACAATTATGAGAAAATCTTCAGTACTCTGGTCTTATTTTAATTCCCAGTTTTAATAAATTACTAGTATCTACAGATTCAATGCAAGGCAGTTAAATTTGTAGATGACTCCAAGCTTGTAAATATTATGGAATGAAATAACGTAGCCAAGATCTTACAAAGAGCATGACAGGATATGCACCCTAGCCCGTTCCTGACAAATTAAGTTCAATGAGGATTAATGCATGGTTCTGCAAACAGGAAGTGAAAGTAGGAGACACATGGATGGAATAAAATTTATCAAGCAGGAAGCTGAAATTCACGTGGGTGTCAATTGACTCACTGTTACCAAACTGTGTAAAACAGCAATAAACATGCAACCAGGATGCTGGATTAGAACACTAAATCAGATAGATCCCTGGAGGTCATGCTCAAGTTCTTTGGCTGTGGTCTGATCATTTTCTGGAGTTTTAATCACTGTGATACAAGGGAGGTGCCCAGATGTTCGAGACAACACAGAGGATAGAATGGACAGCAAGCCCAATTACAGCAGAATGAGTTGTCAGAACTGACAAAATAAGTCACAGCTGTGCAGCTTTGCAAACAATCTCAGAAAGACCTTAGAGATGCATTACAATGCTGAATAAGAGAGAAAGTCTACAATAACTTGTATTTACATACTGATTTCCAAGGAGGCTAAGTTATGGAACAATGTACAGTGGCATGGTTGGACACTGGACATGGGAGGAGGGTGACCAAAAGTGTAGTCGACGAGGTAGGTCCTCAGGCGGATTTAAAGATAGATAGGGCAAGGTGAAAGGATTCAGGCAGGGAGTTCCTGAAATTAGGGGTGCAGTGGCTGAAGGCATGATCACCAATTGTGCCACAGAAGGGGTAGGAGATCACGCAGTAAGCCTGTATCAGCTGAGAGAAAGAGGTGGAGAAGTGGGGTGTGAGCAGGTCAGAAGAGCAGGAAGGTGTTAGGGTGTGAAGGGACTTCTGCGATGGTAAGGAACATAAACATCAATCGGTTTCAAAACAGGAAGCAGGTGGAACCTGAGGATTGGGGTGATGGGCATGTCCACTTTAACCTGCAGTCAATTAGTGCTCATCCAGGCTTTAATATCCGACAGGCAGGCTGACAAAACATCAGTGAACTTGGGATTGTGACTAGAGGGGGGGAAAAAAAAGTAGATTTGGGTGTCATCTGCATGTCATCTGTGGAAGTTGACCTCATGTCTGCAGATGATGTCAAGAGGAAGTATGTCGATGAAGAAAAGGGGGGGAACTGAGTAAAGACACTTGAGGTACGAGTTTCCCAATGGCAATGAGGGTAAAAACATGAAAAGCTAAGACAAGAAAGTCACACAATCAATTCACATTCTTTCTGCAGGTGACTGAGAGTGGGAGGGGTAACCATTGAAGGAGATGGGTCAAGCAGGATAGTTCAAGTGTACATCAAAGCAACAGAACAAGATGGCACAAGTTCAATTGTGAAGGGCTATTTTAGGACACCATGGAGCATTTATTCACATAGAGGGCAATTAACACCTGGAAGGTGGTAGCCATGATACCCAACTTATTTAAGAAACTGCTTAATGTTGTAATTCATAGATTCATAGAATGTTACGGCACAGAAGGAGGCCATTCGGCCCATCGAGTCTGTGCCGGCTCTTTGACAGAGCAAGTCACTTTCACTAACCCCAATCACCAGCATTCTCCCCATAACGCTGCAAAGCCGTCTTCCCCAGATATCTATCCAGTTCTCTCTTAAAAGCTGTTATCGAATCGGACTTCACTTCCCTTTCAGGCAGATCATTCCAAATTCGAACAACTCGCTGAGTGAAAAAAATTCTTCTAACCGCCCTTCTGCTTCTTTTGGTAGATATCTTAAGACTGTGACCATGGGTCACAGACACACCTACCAGCAGAAACAGCTTTTCCTTATCCAGCCTGTCGAAACCTTTCATGATCTTGAAGACCTCTATCAGGTCCCCGCATAACCTTCTCTGCTCTAATGGGAAAAGTCCTAACTTCTCCAGCCTGTCCTCATAGCTAAGGTTCCCCATTCCTGGTATCATTCTCGTGAATCTCCTCTGCACCCTTTCCAGTGCCTTAATGTCCTTCCTGAAGTAAGGTGCCCAGAACTGAACGCAGTACTCCAGCTGAGGCCTAACCAGTGTTTTGTATAGATTAACCATAACCTCCCTACTCTTATACTCTATGCCCCTACTAATAAAGCTCAGTACACCAAATGCCTTTTTTACTGCCTTATCTACCTGCCCCGCTACCTTTAATGATTCGCTTTCTTGAACACCCAGATCTCTCTGTACGTTCACCCCCCTTAAGATTGAGCTACCAAGTCTATATTGCCTCCTAACATTTTTCCTACCTAAGTGTATCACCTCACACTTATCCACATTGAAATCCATTTGCCGGATGGAATAGGATGGAATATTGGTATTCCAGGAATGGATAAGATTAATCTTCATCTGAATCCCTCCCACGATAGAAACAAAGCTGGTTTAAACAATACAACATGAAAATGAATCACTACAATCCAGTTGAATAGCCCTCTGATTTGGTCAAACTGTCTGATTACAAAACAACTAATAAAAAAAAATTCTAGCACAACTGCATTGCCTTACGAGGAGCAGACCAATTCATAATTATACACATCATTTAACAATTTCAAATAATTTTTAAATAAATAATAATTTGGTCACTCACTCCATAACTGGTTGTGGGACATTGCTGTGCGCAACTGGCTGCCGCGTTTCGCCCATAAAATACACAATCACTGCACTTTACAGTATATTCTGCGAAGCACTTTGAGACGTCTTGAAGACGTGATAAGGTGCTACATCAAATGCAAGGATTATTATTATTATCTATGTTGTACATAAAAATCACAAAACAGATGTAGACTGATCAAAGCAAAATATCTAAATATGACGAACTTAAGATCAGACTTTTTCATGCAACTTTCATGTATTAATACTGGCAGTCCAGTGTCAAAATACCCTTTCTAGGCTCTCTCTCTCTGCTCCACATTATACATCTCAGAGTGCAAGCAGACAAGCAAAATCAAACTAGGGGGATTTGTTCTATGATTTTCATTCTGTGGCATTTCATTCTGTGGATTATATACATTTATATAATCTGTTCAATAGCACACAGAGGTCAGAAACTCATATGAATAAGAACATGAAATAAAAATTGGTGGGACACACAACTGTCACAATATATGTTCCCATTACAGCCCTGGGAGATGTTGTACCATTACATAGAAACGCAGCAACAGGGACAGACTATTCAGCCCCTCGAGCCTGTTCCTCCATTTTATAAGATAATTTTATTACCAGGAATGAGAGGATTATAGGTCTGTGAAAGGCTTGTAACATTTGAAATCATGCTACTGGTTAAATGTCCGAATGAAATATCTTTCAAGTTTCCTGATGACCAAGTGGGTAAAGCCATGACAAGCAGGTCACACAATCAATTCCCACTGTACGCACAGTTGGACAATCTCAGCCAAATCACTATCCAGTGACCCCTCCTGGGAAATGCATGGATACTGAATAAGAATAGGATCAATCTCCATTATGACGCACTCGATGATCAAAATCATTTGTGATAGTGATTAAAATTCACTCTCCAGGTTTACACATTAAGAATGATCATTTGGCCACGTTGCCAGATAGCATGTAGCACCCATGAAATGCAACCCAAGAGTCTGTTACCTTTGGTAGAGGAGAAAGCGAAGGAAAGAAATGTGGCAAAATTATACATTCAAAATATTTCATTTAATGTACAACAGCATTTACTTAAAAAATGTTTTCCTATGTTTGTTTTGGTTATTCAACAATAATGTTTTTTGCATAAAACAAGTAGTTTTCCTTTAGGTCATGTTACCTTGAATACAAGAACAATACCTTGCACTTATATAGTGCCTTCTATGCAGGGCAAGGTCTCAGAGCGCTTAACAGTGGCGTAGCCTGACTCTGAGCCGGCGGGGGGAGGCGGGAGGTAGCCGTAAGCACAGTCCAAGAGGAAAGTTTTCAAGCGGGACTTGAAAGAGGGGAGAGAGGGGCCAGCGGGGGAACTGAGGGAGAGTGTTCCAGAGTTTTGGGGCGTAGTGGCTGAAAGCACGACCTCCGATGGTGGGGCGGAGGGTGCGAGCGATGAGCAGGAGGCCGGTGTCAGTCGAGTGGAGGCGCTGGCTGGTGGATTGGGGGGTGAGTTGGTCGGAGAGATAGGGAGATGCCAGGGAGCGAATGGATTTGAACAAGAGTGTGAAGATCTTGAAGTCGATCCATTCGGTGATGGGGAGACAGTGGGGCTTGGCCATAATGCATTGTACTCTTGCAGTAAACAGACAAATAAAGTGAAAACAAACAGCACAAAGGTCACGTTATCTTGCTGCTACTGATGGAACGTACCTGCACTTGCTCCTAAGTTTCCTGGACTTCCCATCATCGTCTGATTACTCAACAGTTGCTGTGGCATTACTGAGTAGGGGCCACTGTTTCGCATTGGTGGGAAAGATCCTGGGCTTGTCTGAGCCTGCACGTGCATTTCCATTGGTACATTTCGACCTTGTTGCTGTTGTCTGGCTGGTTGCACACCTCGAGTGTTACTGAAAGCTACAATTGGAATTGAAAAAAGGAAAATAAACATGCATTAGCCAATACTGAAGTAAAAATTACAGTCATGGGTTTTTTTTGTTTTAAAAAAACTACTCTTCCTACATGGAGGAAAAAGGACTACATCAAGAAGCTGAATTCCAGATTAGCTTTCAGGAAGCATTAGACTCACATCCACTGAGCAGAATGAGTATTTGCCAGATCTTTACTATGATGGAATGTCCCAGGCCCCAGCATATCTGGGAGATAATCAAAATAATCTAACCAGTATGCCCTTTACTACAAAAAACTCAATTAAGTTTCAAACTCAGTTAACTTGTGGTTTGGTGCAGCAGATGAGAAGTTATCTGATTTACCAAGGCCAAGCATGTCAAGTTCTCTTAGCTGGAGAAACAACAGAAATTTGACAGTAATAACTTGCATTTGTATACCCATCACTTTAGATAACGTCTCAAGAGAGGTTAACAATGATGGATTTGAGTGCTGACTAAGGGAGAGAGAGAGATAACTATAGGCGATAACTATAGGAGGTTTTTAGGCAGGATTTAAAGACAGAGGGATGACACAGAGGTGCAGGGGGAAGGAGTTCCAGAGGTGTAGGGACATATAGTAAATATAGATCCAGGTCCAGAACTAATCATGAAACACTAGATGCTAATTAGAATACTTGTCCCCAAGGATGAACCAATTAGTAAAGAAACACATTTTACTCTCAATCCAAAAATTGCAGCTAGTGTTTCTTCAACAGAAAAAATATTTAGGTTAGCCCATAAAAGCATCGGAGCAGAAGATAAAAAGCGAAATTAATGGGAAATAAACATCAATTAAAAATAGCTTTCCTGGAACAGGTGTGACATCTTCTGCAAATCAGAATGGCTAAATGCACCTTGAATGTTAACAGTGGAGCTGGGTCTCCAGACCAGAGTCATTTCTTCATTACCTTCACAGACCTGCCCTTGTCTGGTTTGAATCCTACACCTCCCACCGTCTCCACTTTGTTGCCACTAACGGCTTCATCTCAAGCCCCTGCACCGTCACGTATGGTGTCCCTCAGGTAGGTCTCTGCCCTTGGCCCTCTACTTTTCAACATCTATATGCTTCCTTTTGGTGACATCATCCGCAGACATGGGATGTAGACAACTTCCACATGTATGCAGATGACAACCAACTCTGCCTCTCTGCCCCACCCTTGACTCCAGGACCACTGCTGTCCTCACAGACTGCTTGTCGGGCATCAAGTCCTGGATGAGAGCTAAATTCCTGCAGTTGAATGTCAACAAGACCGAGGCCCTCCTGCTTGGCTCCCATCAACCCCTCCATACCTCTGTTGCTGAGAGCAAATCCCTGCCTGGATGCACCCTACATCTCACAGAGCCAATACGGAATTTCGGGGTCCTGTTCAACCCTCAACTGTCCTTCATACCCTACATCTGTGCCATGAACCGCTCCGCCTTTCTCCACCTCCACAACATCACCCGGCTGCACCATTGTCTCACAACACAGGCCGCCGAAACTCTCGTACACACATCCATAACATTCTGGCTCGACTAAGCAAACTCCCTGCTTGTTGACCTCCCCAACTCCTCCCTCCACAGGCTGCAAATTATCCAGAACTCTGCAGCCCGTATCCTCTCCCGCACCAAGCTCCACGACCCGATCACCCCCATCTTGACTCCACTGGCTTCCCAACACACAGAGCATACAGTTCAAGATCCTGGTCTTCACTTTCAAATCCCCCATGGCCTTGCTCACCCTATCTCTGTGACCTCCTAACCCCCTACCAACCTGACCACTCCCTCCGCTCAGCAGGCATCAGCCTGCTTCACTATTCCCATCTCGCCCGCCCTAACATTGGTTGGCGGGGCTTCACACACTCTTGCCTCCACCCTCTGGAACTCCAACCCGCAGTCCCTTCGCCTCGGCCCCTCCCTTGCTTCCTTCAAGACCCTCCTCTTCAACCATGCACTTGGTCACCCTCCTTCCCCCAGTGCCCTCCACCCAACCCGATCCCCAGCTCGGGTTCGAAACACTGATTGTCCGGCGCCTTGGGACATCCTTCCAACGTGAATGGCACTAAACAAATGTAATTTTGTTGTCGTTACCCCACATGTATATCTACACATATATAATCTACACACACATAATAGTGTATTTCTATATATATATATATTATATGCATGTGTGTGTGTAGATTATATATGTGTAGAGTACATAAACATAGGTCTGGAATGAACTAATTTTATTAGTTCTTGCACAGGCCACTGGATGGAGCACTTTTCAACAACAATTGTATACAGAAGGATGAAACGCTGTTCTATGGGAAGTGAAAGGTACTACCAAAAATTGCAGAGGGAAGTACACAATTCTAACTATCAGTCCCCCTGACATGTACAAACTAAAAGAGTAGGACTTTAGAAAGTGGCAAACTAAAACTAGATTAAATGTGGAAATGTATAAAACGTGCAAACACTTGGGGACACTATGGAAATGCAAGTTGTTTTAGCTGTTTTATAAAACCCATTAGATTCAAAATACAGTATTACACTTATATAGAGCCCTTCTTGTCAGGAGGATGTCCCAAAGCCCTGGCTGGACATCGGAGTCGAGGAAGGAGTTTGTGGGAGGGCATTGAGGATGGGAAAAGATGGTCAGAGAGGTACATGTTGCGACTTACCTTGAAAGAGGGGAAGGAGGGTGCAAGTCTGAGGGACCTAGAAATGGAGTTCCAAAGAGCAGGCACCAATTGACAGAACCTGCCTGATGATAGTGGAGCTGATAAAGCAGGGGCATAGAGTTGGCCAATGTCGGCAGAGAAAAGGGAATAGCCAGGTTGATACAGGTGAAATGGGCTGCCGAGGTTGGGTGGGGCAAGACCATCGAGGGATTTAAATGTGGGATACTGTATGTAATTGATTAATTCCATCATATATCAGATAGCAGCAGAGATGATTAAAAATACCAAGCACACTTAGCTGAAGAAAGAAACTTGGTTTAATGGGGGAGGGTTGTCAAGAGAATATCCATATAATCAGCTGTTATTGTCTAATTTAAGTTTAATAGTTTAATAAGCAAAGGATGCACACACAAACGTGCGCATTGCTCTCAACAACACTCATGTGTTAGGTGAGTAACCTAACCACAAGTTGAGTGTTAGGACTAATGATCTTCATACTGTCAAAAATAAACAGCTTTGTATATTTAAATAGATCTGCAATCTGAGTCACCCTCAAATCACAAATGTGTGATTTAACACTTTGTCCAAGCCAACAAATCCTACGGCTCAGAGTATTACAACCTCCTCAACGTTCTCTCCTCCTTCCAATCTTTTCAGATGAACTCTTCACTTTGATTCCTAACTCAACCGCCCACAAACTTCAACCAACTATAACTCTGCCACCCACATCCTCACCTGCTCCAAACTCCATATCCATCACTCCAGTCCTCACCAAGCTCCACCATCTCCCAATGGATCGATTCCCTTACCTATGAATCCCTAGCATCTACATGCCCTAGCATCTCCCTATCTTTTTGATGTTCTCCTGTGACACTCCGCTGCTCACTCCCTCTGTAATGTGGGCTTTCCAATTCTATGCCCCTAACCTCTAGATACTCTCTCCCTCAAGTCTCCTATTGATCTTCAAGTTCCATCTTAAAACCTCTTTTTTAACTACGCCTATGGTCACCTCCCTCTTCCTCTGATCGGCATCTGACCCAATCACTGTAAAGCACTCCAAGACATTAACCTACATGAAGGACACTATATAAATGCATGTTTTTGTTGTCTGATTCACACTTGGGGTACAGGCACAGATGCCTTCCTCACCCAAAAGGTCATTTCTGTTACTCTAGAAAGTGTGCACCAGCAGGCTATTCAAGTGAGGGGCGAATCACCCCAAGTAAAATCGATCCTCATTCACACATATTCACACCAATGCACACAAACAATTGTAGGGAGATCAACTAGCCGATTCCATTGAATCTGTAACCTTCATGTGGATTATTACCACACTCGGTATTGAATTTACCTCCTGGACTATCACAAGCTTAGTTTTCTTCTTTTCTTGTAATGTTACTAAATCTGGATTTACTAATTGCACATTTTAAAATAGAAAAACCATTTAAATGAAATAACTTTAAAAAATAAAACTTACCGCTTTGTAACATCCCAGGTAATGGTTTCTGTGTTCCAAGAGATGGTCCAGAGCCACTTTCACTGCCAATTTGCAGAAGGTCTTGGAAGATGCTCTGTTTGTCGACTGGTCCACTGCCAGGCACTGTCCTCGGGTCTGGGAAAAGCTGCGATAACTGACTGTTCTGCAGGTCATCAAGAATTTCTTCTAAGTTATCCAAGTCACTGCTGATCTGTTAATAACAAGGCAATTAATTGCCTGTCAACTGTATGTTCAAGCCTGATCGGGTTTTAAGAGGAACTAAACTTTTGTCCCCAGTTTTAAAAACTCTTTTGTAAACTAATTTTTTTTATTTATAGTACACCAACAGAGTTTAAAGCCATGTGGGTGTAAAGCTAAACAAAGGTAGAACTGGTTGGTGTATCATTAAAATATACTTTTCAAGATCACTCAAATTTTGAGAAATTTAAAAAGATAGACTGGTGTCCCACTCCAAGAAAGTACCACTCTTGGATGATGTTACAGGTATTATTTCACTTAGTGAAAACACAGTGGCAGCTACGTGTTCAATGCAAAGTAAATGCTCTTCAGTGAATTACATGACCATAATCAAATATCTGAAACCACTATGTTTCATCCTGTATATAAATGATTTGTATCTAGGATTTGTGGGAAAAATCTTAGTTTGCAGATGATACAAAGATAGTGAGAATAGTAAATACAGAGGAGGATCAAAATACATGTAGATATTGATAGGATGGCTGAACGGGCAGACAAATGGCAGATAATAAAGTTTAATGAAAAAAATGTGAGGTAGTTCATTTTGGGAGGAGAACATAGGAGGAACCTAATAATAATAATAATAATCCTTGCATTTGATATAGCGCTTTTCACGTCGGGAGGACGTCCCAAAGCGCTTCACAGAATACACTGTAAAGTGAATTGACTGTATATTTGTGGGCAAACGCGGCAGCCAATTGCGCACAGCAATGTCCCACAAACAGTCGTAGATTGAAAATGACCAATTTATTATTGTTTTTAGTTTTGGAGGGATTATTATTAGGCGTGTGGAGTAAGGAAACTTACCTATAACTTAGAGGAGATAAATCTTAAAGGGCTAGAAGACTAGTAGTGCAGATTCAGATGCCACTGAAGGTAGTGACCCAGCTGGATAAAGCCATTTAAAAAAAGCCAATGGGATTTTTGGATTTATAGCTTGGAAGAGAGTATAAGGATAGATTGTGTTGAATTGATACAAAACAATGGTTGGAGTACGATGTGCAGTTTTGGGGTTCCTCATTATAGGAAGGAAAGATGTTAAGCACTAGAGGCAGTACAGAGAAGATTCACCAGGATGTTGCCTGGAATGAGAAAATGCAGTTTGTCAAAAGGCTCGATAGACTTTTTTCTTTGGAGCGCAGAAGGCTGAGAGGGGATATGACAGAGCTGTAAAGATATCTGTGGCTTAGATAGGGCGGACAGGGAAAGATCATTTCTGGGAGAGTGGGGTTCTTGAACTAGAAATCATGGTTTTACAAACAGAACTGGGAGATCCAGAACGGAGAGTGGAAGGAGTGTGGAATTCTCTGCCGCAGTTGGTTGTTGGGGTGGCAACCATGTACAAATTTAAAAAGAGACAGAAAAAATAAAGTTGAAGGATATGGGGAAGAAGCCAGGATACATGACCAGGGGTGAATCCAGGACAGACACTCATGTGGAGTATAAACACCAGCCTGACAGGATGGGCCGAATGGCCTGTTTCTGAGCTGTACTGTCTATGAATCTATGGTGACATAAACTGCAAAAACCTAGTCTTGACAGTTTAAGATGACATTGGTTATCCTCATTTGAAATAATGGCTGTATAATTTACTGACATAGTTACCGTTTATTGTACGCACAAGACAGTGAATAATTGCAATTATGCTTACCGTTGTGGTGCTGCATTTCTGTTTCAAGATGCTGTGCAACTTAGGAGCTGAAGGAACATCGGATTTGTGATGTAGGAGCTGCAGATGTATTGAATTTGAGACAAAGAATATAGGTTATTTTGACAGGAAATGCAGTCAATGTATACATTACAGTGAACTCTGGAAAATTCATCACTCGAAGTGAAAAAGATCCAGCGATGAATTATCTGAAGTTAGCTGTTGGTCCTCACCCTATCCCCCCAGGCCGCTCTATCTTGCTCGCTCAGCCAGCACCCTCTCACTGCAGAAATATGAGCATGACAAACTCCGACGAGGACCCACTGTAGTTGCCAACCCTCCCAGATAGTCCTGGAGTCTCCAGGAACTCAAGATTAATCTCCCAGACACTACTACGAGTAACCCGGGAGAAAAATCATAGCGAATTCGAGATTTCGGGACATTATTAGGACTTTACGATACTTTACAATGCTACTGTAAAGTCAGTGCTGTCTCATTTTACAATAGCAACCATTCCTCCCTGAATACGTCCAACCAGAGCTGGCAACCCAAGCATCCACACCAGTCACAGGATAGTTACCTGATCAATTTTAGATTGGAATACTTACAAACATTTCTACAAATGCGATGAGTTAAATGTTAAGTGGAGTTCCGAGTGCCCCTTATCAATAGTTTATATGGGAAGCAGTGAGGATATTAGCGATATGACAACTTAAATGATAGGGATTAGTTAAGGCAGGGTCGAGTTATCCAGAGTTTACTGTATGTTGACATTTTAAAATTTCACATGCACACAGATCTCTGGAAGTGAACTACAGGACAGAATGCCCTACTGGGAGCAGTAGTTGAGGCAAAATCCATATTGACTTTCAAGAGCAAATGAGACAGATACCTTAAAAAGGTCTAGGGGCAGCAGCTAAATTGGTCTGAAAGAATTACTCTTGAGGGAGCTGGCACAGATGCTATGGGCTGAATGGCCTTCGTCTGTGTCATACATTTCTATAGTTCTATAAGGAATTAAAGACCATAAACCATAAAACTACACGATTTTATGCCCATTGCCAATTATTCATTATTTTTTTACAACAGTGAAACATTTTTCTCTTGCTTTATCTCGTGTAGGAATAGTGTGGTGTATGTGGGAGGTGAGGGGTAAAAAAAAATTAGATAAATTTCAGTATTATTTGACTTTGCTTGCGTAGTGCTGGTTTCACAGTGAAGATAAGTATTCTATTACCATCCCGTTTGTATCTGATTCTTCAAGTATTTATTCAATTCCCTTTTAAATGTTGCAATGGAAATGGTTCCAAAAGGTAATGAGTGTGATGCAGATCTGACATTATGCGAATGGTAGTATAGTAGAGGTAGTACTGTATCACAATAGCAACAATAAACAAAGTAACACGGTAGACCTTTGGAATCATGATTACCTGCTTCTATCAAACACAAGAAATGATTGTAAGAGGAATTAGTGCTGACGTGCTAGTTTCCTTAACATGATGCAGGGCTCAGTAATATTAGTGACTAGTACGACAAACTCAGAAGCAAGTGCAAGCGGCCACGAAGCACCCGGGACACTACCCCGCGTGAAGGGCGCTAATAAGTGCAAGTTGTTGTTGTTATAATGCATTAGAACTTAGTTTCGTTTTAAGGACTCTCCCCTCACCACATGTTATAACAGACCTGGACTTAGTAACAAGCTGAGTACAGGAAAATATTCAACACCTTATATAGGAAGTTTATAAAACAGTACATAATGGATCTTTTGTTGTAAAGAGGGATGTGTGCTGCTGTAGTTTAACAGGATATTAAAAACAAAAGCATTTAATAAAACTGAACTTCATTTAAAATTGAACTTCACAATTCTATACAAGTCACAACACCGCACAGGCCATAACTGTTTGGCTTGCACTCTGCCATTATTGAGATTAGAAAGGTACGAGATACAGGTAATGTGGGAATAATAATAATAATAATAATAATCCTCGCATTTGATATAGCGCTTTTCACGTCTGGAGGACGTCCCAAAGCGCTTCACAGAACACACTGTAAAGTGAATTGACTGCATATTTGTGGGCGAACGCGGCAGCCAATTGCGCACAGCAATGTCTCACAAACAGTCGTAGATTGAAAATGACCAAGTTAATTATTGTTTTTAGTTTTGGAGGGATTATTATTAGGCTCTGTGTGGAGTAAGGAAACTTGCCCAAGGTTTCGCCCTGCCTGGAATTGAACTCAGGTCTCTCGCTTGCAAAGCAAGTGCTCTAACCACTGAGCTACAGGACTCCACAACTGTCCGTTTCTTAAAAAGATCCATATAATTTCCTGCCAAAGCACATCCATTTTCAGAGAACAGTAGTTAGGAATTCCAAAGCATAGCGTAGAAAATAAACCTTACCCCTGGCTCAGTTGATAAAGACACTAATATAATAAGGCAGGATTTGATGCCTGGTCGGTGCTAAATGAATTGATGTCACCCAGGCAGCAGCAAGGAGAGAATGGGGGCGACTGAGAAAATCATTTGGGGCTCCTGCTCTCCATTATTATTCAGTGATCTTCACTGGAGAGTGTACAAACATGAAGATTGGGTGGGTGAGGACAATATCAGTTGTGTATGGTCAAATAATCCTTTAATATAGCAACTTATTATTATGTCTAAACATCTCAAAGTGCTTCACAAGATTTTTAATGAGGTCTAGTGACTATTTCGCAAGCAAATAGACACTTTGGGAGAAGTACTGCCACAAGGAAGGATAATAATAACAATAATCCGTGCATTTGATATAGCGCTTTTCACGTCTTCTGGACGTCTCAAAGAGCTTCACAGATTATGCTGTTAAGTGGATTGACTGTATATTTGTGAGCGAAACGCGGCAGCCAATTGCACACAGCAGTGTCCCACAAACAGTTTGGTGGGTGAAGAGCTTGAAATCGATCTGCTGAGAGTGAGGGAGACAGTGGAGCATGGCGAGGACTGGGATGATGGGTGTGCAGAGCCTGGTACGAGCGAGGTCAGAATCTGTTATTAATCCCACCAGGATGCATGAAGAGCAGGAGGAGGGAAGAAAATTGAAGGATAAAACGCTCTGCGCCAATCGCTTCACCAGTGGGAACAGTGGATCATGTGATAGGGAGTGGGAATTCTATAGAAAAAAGGAACACCTCGACAGGTGTTTTGGCTTTCAAAGTTGAAATTGGGCAGTGTTTTAGTGGCTCTTTTCCTGAATAGAGGAAACGCCACAAGCTTCCTTTGGAGCAGTCTATGCTGACTATGGTTAGGTATATTTCAGTAACCAATCAACAAATGACCCAGTAAAGAGCAGTTATCAAGGCCATTAGTACATTTAGGAAACAAAAATGGGCACAGTGTGCAGCACAAAGAAAGCTTCAGGGCAACAGCACAAAACCAGGAAATCTCACTGCTATAAAGCTGAAGTGAACATTACAACTGAAGGAACACAGTGACAAGGCAAAGGGTATTGTATATTGGCTTCCAAACTCCTATGTAAGAACGAAGGCGGGAAGAGATCTGTAATTACAGCGTTGATTCAAGGCATGTATTACGTAGAAAGATTCCACAAGAGTTGAAAACATTGAAGCAAAACTGATCACAGTGTAGTCTGTCATGCTCTGATGGACCACAGTACAGCCGATCCAAACTGTTCCAGAGCTGGCTATTGTCCAGTAGATCATCTCACTAGTCTATAAATCCCTTCATGCCCTGGCATCTCCCTGCCTTTCTGACCTCCTCTCTCCCCACTCCACTACTCACTGCTTCCGCTCGGCTGGCCTCCTGCGCGTCCCTCATGCCTTCCACTCAACCATCGGCGGCTGCTCTTTCAGCCATTACTCCCCAAAACTTTGGAACTCTCTTCCTCAATCCCTCAGTCTTGTCCCCTCCTTCCCCTCTTTTAGATCACAACTGAAGAGCTTCCTCTTCGACCGTGTTTACAATCACCTTCTCCAAGAACCTACCCTTGTGAAGAGCGCTTTGTAAATGCAAGTTGTTGTTGTTTTGTGCAATTGATGTTGCAAACCCAGGTGTATGCATTGCAATACATCAAAATTCTAATGCATAATAAATAGGCTGGTGCAAAGGTGAGATGATAGGCATACTTGCTATTGTAGTATATATTAGTTTTCCCCCCTTCCCTTTGCTTCATAGATCAATTTAGTCCGTCTGGCAAAAGAGCATACCTACAGGAGATTATCCTACAGATTACATCCTGGCCCAAATTTAGATGAGAAAATCTGGGTTTATAAATGCTCTCCTGTGGTTCCACCTACTGCAGAGAGAGTCCTGCACTACGTTGCTCACCTTCAATAAGCAAATTCAGTACAACTCCCATTATAATGAGGTCGGCTAAATCCAATCTCTTAAAACGTAGATTATTATTATGATGATTTCCTCCAACCGTGTGCATGCACAGGAAATGACATTAGCAGTGTTTCTGCGCATCACACGCGTTCACAGGAAGAGACATCGGGAAAGACCCGACACCCCTGAAACTAGCCTTAATGTGTGGAGAGCATATTAATTCAGTCCATGTATCGGACTCAATCAATCCAGGTGCACAGGGACCCCATCTTATAAGCAAATGAGGAGAGTTCTCCTGAAGTAATTGCAAGAGCCAATTTCCGTCAGCAACAAGTGATCAGAAATTTAAGATAATTGCAAGAAGGAATTAAATGGTTAAAAATATTTCTTTACACAGAGCGGGTTTGGAATGTGGAATCTGCCGCAAACTAGTTGAAGCAGAGTTCAAAAATGTGTTTAAGCTGAAATTAGATAGATGCTTTGAAATGAATATTAAAGGGCATGGAAATCATGCAGTCCGTGGAATTTGATTTGGTATGGAGAAAAACACCAGCACAGCACAGCCTCGACTGGCCAAATGGCCCATTTCTGTGCTGCAACATTCAATGATTCTGTAAAGTTGGTAGATGGCCCAGCTAATTTGGTTTCCAGCATCAATTAATTAACTTAATTACAGTTTCTGCCATGCATTTTAGTCAGTAACAAATGCCTAATAATAATCCCTCCAAAACAATAATAAATTGGTCATTTTTAATCCATGACT